TGCTGGAGCTACAGGCAGACGGTTCAGACCACAGCCCTGCTTGACTGTCCTGTGCTGGAGCTACAGGCAGACGGTTCAGATCACAGCCCTGCTTGACTGTCCTTTGCTGGAGCTACAGGCAGACGGTTCAGACCAGAGCTCTGCTTGACTGTCCTTTGCTGGAGCTACAGGCAGACGGTTCAGATCAGAGCCGATACGTCGGCTTGGGTTGCGTTTGCATGGATATGTATTTCATAAAATTTGTGAAAGAAAGATATCTTAGCACAATCAGTCAAGACCACTATCTCTTGTCACCAGACTTACCCTCTGTCCAGCTTCCTTTTATGTTGGGTGGCATTAGAGTGGCCACAGGCATTTTGGGGATCTAGCTGAGGGAAGTTGAGTTAGGCATACATTTAGTTGGGGTTTAGCGGCATATATGGTTTGGAGTCACTTTAGTGTGCAGTTATTACTAGCTGTCCTGGTGTAGGAATGGCTTCCAGAAATGCTTCTGCCGCCCACTGTGCTGACTAAGCTGGGATTGAGACGTGAGGTGCAGGGCCAGGGCCTGTATCCTGGTATGGAGGTGCCCTATAGCACCTGGCACTGAAAGTGTGTGGGCGCTGGAGAAGAAGCAAGGGGTGAAATGATGGAGCAAGAAACTGGTCTGGAAAGTTCTTTCAGATCCTAGAGCTTCTTTCAGTGGTAGAGGTTTCCTAAATCTGACAATAGTCCTGAAACTTTAATTACTAGTGATGTTACATGCTTGTGAAGATGAAAAAAACTTTTGTAAACTGTCAGTAAAAGAGAGGTTTCAGTCGACCATGCTACAGGAAAGACTGAATTATTTTTTTAAATTTTCTATAGGAAATATTGGAGCCCTGGTGGTGCAGTGGTTAAGATCTTGGCTGCTAACCACAAGGTCAACAGTTCGAATCCACTAGCCACTCCTTGGAAACCCTATGGGGCAGTTCTACTCTGTCCTGTAGGGTTGCTATGAGTCAGAATTGACTTGACAGCAACAAGCTTGGGTAGGAAGTATTACAAAATCATTGGCATATGGCAAGGTGTATTAGGTTCCCAGGGCTGCTATAACAAAATACCACAAAGTGGATGGCTTTAAAGAACAGTAATTTATTTTCTTACAGTTTTGGATTGGAGGTTCAAAGTCCAAATCAGGGTCTCAGCCATGTCAGCTCCTTCCGTGGGCCTGCCTCTCTCCTTGTTTCTGGTGGCTGTGGGCAATCCTCGCTCTTCCTTTGCTGTTTGTGTGTGCTGTCTGCATCTGCCTCTGTTGTCACACGGCGCCTCCTCCCATGTGTCCCTGTCTGTACTCCCTTTTATGAGACACCATGCAGAAAGGACTAGCTTTACAACCCACTGTACCTCCTACAACCTTATTCATATGACAGAAGAATCCCGCTGTTCCCAAACACGATCTTATTCATAGGTACAGGAGGTAGGGCTGCAACATCTATGAGTGGAGGGCACACAAGGTAATCAGAGTATACAGCAAAAGAGAAAAAAGATATTCTAGAGGCATGGAAGGTAGTTAATAAAATGTTATTTTTCTGGATTTTGTGATGTTAGTGGTATTTATATTAGTTTTCTATTGCTGTGTAGCAAATTGCCACAAATTTCTTTTATTTTTATTTTTTATTGTGCTTTAGGTGAAAGTTTACAGCTCAGCTTAGTTTCTCATACAAAGATTTATACACACATTGTTATGTGACCCTAGTTGCTCTCCCTATAATGTGACAGCACACTCCTCCTTTCCATCCCGGATTTCCCGTGTCCATTCAACCAGCTCCTGACCCTCTCTGCCTTCTCATCTCACCTCCGAACAGAAGCTGCCCATTTAGTGTCATGTATCTACTTGAGCTAAGAAGCACACTCTTCACAAGTATCATTTTATGTCTTATAGTCTAGTCTATTCTTTGTCTGAATAGTTGGCTTTAGGAATGGTTTTAGTTCCAGGTTAACACAGAGTCCGGGGGCCATGTCTTCTGGGGTCCCTCCAGCCTCAGTCAGATCCTCAAGTCTGGTCTTTTTACTAGAATTTGAGTTCCGCAGTCATTGGTGGTAGCCGGGCACCATCTAGTTCTCTGGTCTCAGGCTGATGGAGTCTCTGGTTTATGTGGCCCCTTTTGTCTCTTGGGCTAATATTTTCCTTGTGTCTTTGATGTTCTTCATTCTTCTTTGCTCCAGGTGGGTTGGGACCAATTGATACATCTTAGATGGCCGCTCACTAGCTTTTAAGACCCCAGACGCCATTCACCAAAGTTCGCCACGGGTTTAACAGCTTAAAACAACACACATTTATCATCTGACAGTTTCCATGGGTCAGAGAATCCGATGTGGCTTAGCTGCGTCTCTGCTCAGGGCCTCATAGGCAGCAATCAAGGTTTGTGCTGGGCTTTGGTCTCATTTGAGGCTCAGGTCATCTTCCAGGTTCTCTGGTTGCTGGCTGACTTCAGGTCCTTGCTGTTATATGACAGAGGCCCTTAGCACCTAGGGGTTGCCGGCAGCTCCCTGGTATGTGGCCCTTTCTGTAGGCAGTTCTCAACTTAGTAGCCTGCTTCTTCAAGGAGTCTCTCTCCAGTCTGCTCAGAGTTACATACAACAAAGCGTAGTCAGAGGAGTAATCCCGTCACCTTTGCCATATTCTGTTAGAAGCAAGTCATAGTTCGTTTGCACTCAGTGAGGCATGACTCACTGAGGGTCACCTTAGGGTGTGGCTGCCACAGTGTTTGTCAGTTTATAAAAATTTAGGATGGATTGTGATTTCATTTCTCATTCTAGATAAATGCTCAGTTTGGACCCAGTATCATATGTGGAATTTTGTCTTCTTTTCTTAAAGCGGGGCATCCAAAACGAATAAGGCTCAGGCCAAAGCCTGGAGCTCCTCCTGGGTCACACAAGCCTGTATTTTACAGCAAAAAGCTTTTGTTTTTGATGCCTGCTTTTCTGTGTGTTATGCTAGGGGCTATAGTGAGAAGTTCTAGCATAATCTGTCTAATTTACCCAAACCATTTTTGCATAGAAGAAGAGAGGCAAATTGGGAAGCCTGTTTTGGAAATCTTTGTAGTTTGTTTGCTTGTTTCTGCTTAATAACTTACAATTTGCTTATTAAAAGTCCCTTATTTTTTTCTATGACAGAAGACAAGAAGGGAAATTAGGATGAGGGCGATAGGATTAGAGCAGCGGTTGTTACAGGCTTGGGGGAGGGGGTTGTACCCTCCGGGGATACTTGGCAATGTCTGTAGACATTGTTGGTTCGCACAGCTCTGGGAGGTGCTGCTGGCATCTACTGGGCAGAGGCCAGGGTTACTGCTGAACGTCCTCCAGTGCCCAGAACAGCACTGCCCCACCCACCCCTCCACAACG